CCACTCAGACACATGATACTGACTCCGAGCCGACCAGTCCTTGTTGTACCCATTAATGCCGAGCGCCAGGTAGGGACCAACAAGTACCATATTTTAACGTCTTTTGGTATGACGCGATCGGGGATCGAACCCGTGACCTTCCGCTCTCCGGGCGGACGCTCTAACCACTACACCACGGAGGCGGTTTGTCAGAGAGGTACAAAATGTACATTATCTACATTACTAGTACTGAGTACCAGTTGTCAGACTGTGGAAACTGCAGTGGCTGAGTGGGTTAGATCACTGACTTTGTGTGCTGGCAATTAGGTGCCTGACTCTGAGAATGTGGGTTCGAATCCCAGATTGGACTGACATCCCCCCCAAAGTACTAGAATCTTTTTATTTTGAGAAAGTGTAATCCCAAATGTTATGTTTGTTATGTATGACATGGTTCAATATCAACCTGTAGATTTACTGATGGTACAAACTGCTGATTGCCAATGGAACCATTAAATACAGCCTTTTCTTGAGTCATATTCCTAGCTGCAGAGGAGTCTGCACTGTATAACATAAACCTATGAGCTTCAATTTCATGACATTTCAAACTATGATGTGAAAGAAATGTTACGGGTGTGAAGCTGACAGAGTGGTTCCTGTATGTTTTGCTTGATTGTAATTGTTTTGAAATGGATTTCATCATATGTTCGATAAGCTGTTGTGACCATGTGCCTGTGCTGTAACAATGCAGTTATGTAGGGACATTTGCTTTGAAGTTTTTGTGGCCTTCAGAAAGGTGAGGTGAGGTGAAATTGGGTTTTGTGCCGTGCTTGAGAATATTTCGCTCATATGACGTGCATGCGTGTGTATGTGCGGCTGCTTGTACTAGCCCAGACTTAAGCAGGTTTTATAGTGCTAGCCCACTGAGATACCATGCCGCAGTGAAGCATGAATAACCCACTCAGACACATTATACTGACTCCAAGCCGACCAGTCCTTGTTGTATCCATTAATGCCGAGAGCCAGGCAGGGTCCAACAAGTACCATATTTTAACGTCTTTTGGTTTGACGCAGTCGGGGATCGAACCAGCGACCTTCCGCTCTCCGGGTGGACGCTCTAACCACTACACCAAGGAGGCGGTCGCCTTCAGAAAAGAGTAGAATTATTTTGATGGGTTTTCAAAACCCCTCCCGCTAAATTCAAATGCTGATGGTTGAAAGAGATGGTGATGAATATCAATCACAAACAGGTTTGTAAACATCATGCTGTCATGAATAATTGTTAAATGTTTTAGATACAGGGGGTCCTCCGACATGATATATTTGAATGCTATAGACGAAAATCACAAAAACCTGCTTAATATCGAAAACTGCTGAGCACCAACCAACTGAACATAAAAAAATAGATATTTACTGTTAACATTCAACTACACATAATTTGAAATGTCAAAAACCTTTGAGCATGGGCATCTCACTTCAGACACAATTCCAAACAATATTGTGATCATTATTATCTTCGTATCTGTGAATTAAGGTCAGTTTCTATTGAGATCAGTCAACTGTGGATGAAAAAGTTGTTTATCAACAAACATGATAAATGAGATTTGCACCCACATCAGATGACGAATCCAAGTTGAACTATATGACACATCAACGCTGGCAACCCATGTTTTGATAGCTGACAATAACTACAACTACCAATGATTACAGTTAATTCCACCAATTAGCATGACTAATGAATCCTCTCATCATTAGAACCCATCAAATAATTACTGAGTAATTTAGGAATGACAGATGTGTTATAAGTGACAGTTTCATGATCTGAGAATACCACAACATGGACAATGTCATGATCAGCTGTTTTTCTTTAACAAAATAAAACAGCCCAATAAAATCATGCAGGGATAGAATATATTATGTACTCCTGGGCATGCAGTGATTGAGTGTAGTTTATTAAACTTCTTTTAGTAATATTACAGCAATATCATGGCAGGGGACACCAGAAATGTCCTGGTCATGCAAAAATAGTTCAGATCATCTATCTTACAAGTTGGACACTGATAAATGTCATTTCATCATTAACTGGTTTCCCCCTTCCTTACAATTTTTTTTTTAAAATCTTTTTATTTGCTCCCATAATTGAATACAAGCATATAAAGTAAAGCAATAAATGTCATATACATGATCAAAGTTCATTGGGTTCAATAAAAATGTTAGATCAACTGATAGCATAAAGAGATTATAATCCAGTAAAGTTATTTCCCTTTGATCAAAGATTAAGTCAGAAATTAAATATTGAGAAAAAAGGAAACCATTTGTCTGAACATTTATAAACATTGTTCCCGTGGATATGAAATTCTCAACCGTATAAATGTCTTTAAAAAAAATTAAGAAATTATTAACTTTTGGAAATATTTTCTTCAAAGTGCAAGTATATATATTTATTACCCACGTGGTCAACGTATGGGTAGTTGCATACTAATCTTGTACGTCACACGAGTGTCGTATCGCATTGACCTGTGTCGTAACGACTTGACCTGAGATTCTAATGATTTGATTGGATAACCGTTGACCTCTCAATTAGGTCACATTTTGACGTAACTATTTTTTCATTCATAACAAACACGTGAATTCCTTCATTCTTCAACTTAAATGCATTGTGGGAATGTAAACATCGCGAACGTTGCTGTGTCGCTGTTTAATTGTGAGTCGAACTGAGACATTATATCCGTCGAAGAACATAAACGCAATGTTTCCACCAGTGATGTTAGCGAATGAAGCAACTGCAAACCAAGAAACGAGGGGTGCTCTGGGCAGTTTACTGTAGGAGGTTGTACAAGGCGATGACAACTGACATGCATCGGGCGTCGGTTACCAAGGCAGTGGCGTCATTACAGTGTGGCGTCATGCAAATATTGTACTACAGTACAAAACTCTTCATAACCTCTTTATGAAATCGGTTTCGGTTTGGAACCAAAATATTAACAAAAATACGCTATTTTGTCAATTTAATGCACGTAAAGGCCGCGGGTAATAAATAAAATACCACACTCGGTCTCATTACATACGAATTATCACGAAACTTCGTGACCTTCCTATGTTATCTGACCTCGCTTTGGCTCGGTCAGATACCATAGGAAGGACAATCGTTTCGTATAATTCGTATGTAATGAGACCGAGTGTAGTATTCTCTATATTTTAGCAGATAAGATTATATGATTTAGTAATGGCTTATTTCCCAAAATTCCAAACCAAACCAAGGTCTTTGCTATTTCAAATTTCTGTATGTTCTGGATTATCCTTCCAGAAGGTTTGGGTTACAACACATTCCCAATATACATGACATAATCCTTACAAAAGTTGGTAATACCCTTTTCTCTGAATCCCAGGGATTACTTTGGGAATCAATACACTGTCAATTAACAAGATCAACCTTGTTTACACATTCATTTTCTATGTTTTTGACCAGATTTCTGTCACACTCATTGAAGAATTATTTAAGGAACCTGTTAACCATGTTTAAATTAATGAATGTAGTTTTTTTTAATTCATTATATGTGATACATCTACACTATTGTTCAGTAAATGTTATAATTTCGAAACTCCCCCACTACATGTATAAATTTTACACCATAAGCACGAACAAGTAACTTTGGTTTGTTTCTTTCAATGTTTTAATGGCATTCAACAATATTAAAAGGATTATAACTGTAAATAATGAAGCCTGGACCAGACAATCCAGTGATTGATCCCAAGCATTGACCTTCGCAACTGGGACTCTCCAACACGTGTCAACCGATCCCATTAGTTGCCCCTTACAAGAAGCATGGGCTGCTGAAGTTCAATTCAAGCCAAATCTACCTAGGTATGCAGATATTAGCAAGTAATATCAATGATATGATTAGCACATAAACGTTTGTTTTGCTTAACAACCCCCTCACACTCCATTATATCTATGGTAACCCCATCTGATCATGTATGTGGTGCACAATTTATGCACTGACAGATCAGGTTTCGTTTGAACATCACCGCTTCTGAAATATGCATGGTAGAAAAAGAATCTTGAAGATGAACAGAGAACTGCATATGTCAACTTAAATCTTGAACATGATATTTGTCACTGCTGGAATATTAGTTCATTTAAATCTAATGAATGCATCCATGGTAGGTGCCTATATGTTCCCCATCATTCTGGAAGGCATACTATTGAACGATAAGAACTGCAACTAGGTAAAAACTTCTCACTTTAAATACAGTCTTTCATAAATATGTAACAAAACTGATCTGCTCATATTTATTTAAAGCAGTCTATTATTTACATAGCCATTAAATTCTATGCAAGAATTTAGTGACCTGATGGTTTGGGGAGACTGCTGCCAATTTGTTCAATATAAATGGTCTGAATATGTTAGGTCCATAAATATTTATGTTTAATTCAGGATATATATATATATCTGGAGGTTTCCCATGGACTGCACCAATGCCACATTGTGAATTGTAACATGAACCTGAGGTTTGTTCATCCTTTTAATAGACCTTCAAATGACCCTTGGCCTCCTTGCTCCAGCCACTCACACATATTGGTGCTTGCAAACCAGACGCATTCTGAATATTATCACAGCATATTAAAATAGTTTCAATTCAAAATAGATAAAGCGTAAACTTGTTTTTATCACCTGATGAATATTAAACTTCCTGAGGCCCCAGAAAATATACACGCAGCTCTTTCGTGAACTAACTTTGCACAAGATGTGCAACTAGATCCGATCTATTCACAAATGAAATATTAACCTCAGTCGACTAAGTTTCTTCTGTGTCCCCAGTGTGCCAGTGTAACGTGCAACAAAGTCGAGTACCTACCGAACAATGCATCTTCAGATCAGGACCAAAAATCAAAACAGCACATCTGTAACATTACATAATTTTGACGCAACATTCAGCGATAAGGGTTATATCGTTCCTTGCGAAGAGCCCGCTGAATACTAAGTTAGTGTGCATAGACATAAGTTAAAGACATATCCTACCAGCAGTTATAACAGCAAAACTCAGACCCGTTGAAATAATGTTGTAGTCTGTTGGTCGCCATAACTAACAACGCCACCTATGGTTAGGTTTGAGTTACGTCCCTTTTCGGTGCGCTCCCAGCTGCAACACAGATGTTTGACCAAGCTGAACACGACGAAATCAAATGCATTTAATTAATATAAACGCATTAATCAGATCTCGGTGGTTCCGATGGTTGTTCTAACATGTGTTGTGCTATACAGATTTCTGTTTCACTGAAACATTGATCTCAGCAGTTGTATGCAACATTTTGAATCTCGGAGCCCATCTTGGACTGACAGACTGACTGAGTTTGGTTTTACGCCGCTTTTAGCAATATTCCAGCTACATCACGGCGGGGGAACACCAGAAATGGGCTTCACATTGTACCCATGTGGGGATTCGAACCCCCCATCTTGGAGTCCAAATCTGTGTGGGTTTTATAGATTTTATAAATCCAACCAGTTTCAATTTTTAAAAACAACTTACCTCAATCTTTGTTTGGCAAACATTTAATCCCCTAAACGTACCTTTATACAGAAGCTTACCATTAATATACGTAGGCATCCGGGTACTACTAGCTTGCTTTGTTTATTTGATTGCACACTCAGCTAAGTATGACGGCGGTGCGTAAATAATCGAGTGATCAACATCATGAGCATTGACCTACGCAATTGGGATACGATGACGTGTCAACCAAGTCAGCGAGTCTGACCACCCGATCCCGTTTGTCGCCTCTTACGACAAACATATGGGTTGCTGGGCCAGTTCTATGTTTAGCTAATAGCCTTGACTATTATGTCTAACGAGAACACGAGAAACCCCCTTTCCATGAAGCTGGTTCTGTAGGCTACGCCCCACACGGTCGTAGCGTTACGATTATTGCAAATCTGTTCAAACGTATTGGATTTGCAATAGCTGTAACACTACGATTGTCAGGCTAGTGTCTCCGAAAAGCAACTCTGTTAACGGGGAATAATGTTTAGCAGAGCCCAGAGAATAGCTTTCGTTCCCGAAACTGAAGAAATCTCGAACATTTGCAAAACTATTGAATACACCCAAGGGCTGTTTGTGATGTTTCAACAAACCCTGCATGTCTGTATAGGTACTTGTTTGTTCTATACCCTGACCAAGCGCGTATACTTATACTATCGACCACTTGTTTTTGTCTGTCATACAAAATGACAGAGAAAGTCTGTCTTCGTAAAAAACACACAGAAAAAGAACGCAGCCTATGAACCTTTCTTTCAATGACATCAACACCGTACATGCGCACCGACCAGACGATTGCCAAGGGCAGATTTTTTACACTATTATTGCCACTGTACATATAAAACAAGCTCAAAACAAATGGAAATCACAAAACTTAATAGTTCAGTGGCAATCATGCAATTGTTATTCAGTATCAAACCAATGTGCAATGAGATTTGATAAAATAGACATAATGATATATACTCAACAACAAAAGTAAGGGACCACCCCCATTTTCAATATTAGAGTATTTAATAGTTCATATATATTATGATCCATATAATACTTAAATATTGAATATTGGGGTGGTCCTAACTGTTTTGTTGAGCATACATGTTATTTCAGATTTGCGTGTTTACAAACCTACAATACTGTTAATAATAAACGGACTTAAAGCCTCACCGAGTTGTGTTGTTGAGGACAGAGAGCCATTCCCGTTAGCTGTACGATGTTGGTGTTTCGTTGTTCAGGGTGTATCATTACATGGTATAAATATACACTTAGAATAATGGGGTAGCATGAACAATAAGCCCTGGACTAGACAGTGTATATACGTAGTTATACCACATGGCCTTGAAGTCGGGACTTCAACATACATATGAATACTGTTATTGTTACAGGATAATGTCAACCGTCATAAAAACCCAGTATTCATGTACAGCTGTAAGGTTTTCCTTATTTTAATAATACATATCAGGGCGGCTGTTGCGAACATAATAATACAACCGCAAATAAGCAACAACAGACTTCGTTGTACATGCATGCCAATATTTATAAAGCGCTTTTTATCAATGTAATTGCACAAAGGCGCTATCTGAGTCCATTTTATCCATATGCAGAGGTGAATAGGTGCGTCTTGACACCACTTTTAAAACTTGACAGTTCGATTTCGGAACGAAGGGTGGCTGGTAGATTGTTCCAGAGGAAGGGTCCTGCTCTAGAGAATGACCTGTCCCCATATGACTGAATTCTAGTTCGTGGTATTTCAAGGTGAGACTGGTCCCGGAGTGATCTAGTTTGGTGATATGGTGTCAGGAAATCTGAGAGGTATTTTGGAGCTAGACCGTTTAAACACTTGAAAACAAGGAGCAGGGTTTTGTACTCGATTCTGAAGCGAATTGGAAGCCAGTGTAGAGTTTACAAGGCTAGGGAGATGTGTTCAGTCCTTTTAGTTTGACAGTTCTTTATTAAGACATTTAAGCATTTCTACAGCAGAGTTGCATATGCATATCTGAAACAAAACCAGTTTAATAAACTAGATCCCAAAAGTTAACTGGTGTTTACCCCAATAGCCGACGGGAGGATAGGGTGTTCTGGCACGGAGACAACTGATCGTATCACAAATACAGGGCTCGTACACGTGCATGCTCGTGCTTTCTGTGACTGGTCGGCGTGGTCCGTACTCATTTGTCTTCAGCGCATCATAGCATAGCATTAGTGAGTGAGTTTAGTTTTCGCTGCTTTTTAGCAATATTCCAGCAATATCACGGCGGGGCACACCGGAAATGAGCTTCACACATTGTACCAATTTTGGAAATCGAACCCGGGTCTTCGACGTGTCGAGCGAACGCTTTAACCACTAGGCTACCCCACCACCCTGATATAGCATTGATCTTGCTGACTGCGTCATCAAATAACATTCACTCACACACTATCAAATGACGTCACCCAATATGTGACAGGATACAGAGCGATATATCCAGGGTATTTGATCTCCATTCTACTTAAACATAACATCATGTTTAGTGAGTAATATTTAAGCAGTATGTCAAATGGAGGGAATCCAAAATTGAGCTCAACAAATCTTCCCCCCGCGGGGAATCGCACATTGGCTTTTGACGTAACAGGCGAATGTTTTAACCACTATAGGCAGTCCCGCCAACCCATATGCGTACATTAGAATGCGTGAGTGAGTATGGTTTTACGCCGCTTTTAGCAATGTTCCAGCAATATCAAGGCGGGGGACACCAGAAATGGGCTTCACACATTGTGCCCATGTGGGGAATCGAACCTGGGTCTTCAGCATTAACCACTAGGCTACCCTATGCACCACCCCTGCCCTTGGATGACCTGAGGTTGTATAAAGTATAAAGTAAAGTAGGTACGAAACATGGCACATACTGTATAGGTACTGGATGAAAATTTGGCATTCAACTAACGCATTCATGTCCTTATACTACCTTGACTTGCACAAGTCTCTAAGACAATAAGTATTACTTTATATCACAATGTCTAGAATATTAAGTAACCCTAACCCCAGATTCATACATCGACCTTTTCTGGGGTTATATTTGCATCATATAGTTAAACATCAATCAGTGCAGGAAACTATGGAATCCTGGAAGGGACATTGTCGCGTGGCGCATTGTCGCGTTGTCGCCCTCCCAAAAACAAGCAAAATGAGGCAAAAATAACCAAAGCGCGACAACGCGACATTTCGGCCATTTGTCGCATTTGTGGTTAATTTTGCCTCATTTTGCTTGTTTTTGAGAGGCGGCAACGCGACAATGTCCCTTCCAGGATTCCATAGGAAACTTTACTCTGTTGTGCTAATAAGAACGATGTCAGTTGAATAATGCATTAATTAAGTTACTAAAATGAGAACAGTTTCTTATAGTGTCGTTAAGTAAACTGCAAGCTTTATGTCCCCAACACTGTTGTGACACCCGTATCATGTTACATCACCATGGAAAATCAGTATCTTATTTCTTTCTTTTTCAGCCATGTACCATCATGGACGTATAAATGTATTTGAAACATAAGTGTAGAACGCAAACAAGTCGCATATGCATTGTTTCACGTTCTACAATTCATGTTTCGCTATGTGGTATATGGACGCCTGCCTAAAATGGGCATGAGCTGACAGTCTCAAACAAGTACGACTAACCTTACTGTGTATTAAAACACTGGATCTACATGTACACTGTTGTTGTGCAATTTGTGTCACAAACATTTATAACCGAATGCATATTTACAGCACGTGTGAAAAGAGTCAGCTTAGAGTTAAAAATTAAGTCACCATCAACCATACTGGTTTATCCGGACACTCGTTAATCCATACACGTTCGTTGATAACAAATCCACAAAACATCTCTGACGCACACACTTGAAAAGCTCAGAATGCAACACCCCTTACATTCGCCAAAAGCTGTTTTCTTATGACACACAAGAACTGTGATTTGTTACAGTAGCTGTTTAATTAACAACCACCAATTAACTCAGAGTTTGAACGCATTCTATTACAACCACACTACCTACCTTCACAGCCCAACCCGTCTGTGGCGACTGTCGACCCCACAGGGGATCATTACGGTGTATTGTTATGGTGTCAAGTCGACCTAATTAACGCTTGTTGTGATGGAGTTAAGGAGGATGAACTCAACCAGGATTCCACCTTTCACTGTTAACTTTATCCATATATAGAAAGCGCTATATTTAGCTGCACTGTTGGGTTTATTATTCTGGGCACGATGGGAGTGGTATTAGCTGTCCAGATCCACTCCGCTTTTCCCGATTCGACTGCCGTGTTTGCTATGGGGAGCAGGTTTGTTTGCTGTTAAAGGCCAACTCAAATATCAGCTGGGAGGGGCATCGTTTTCAATCGTTGCTCATTACAGGGGACAGATGAGGCGGAGCTGGGGCTTAAATCTTAGATATGTCGAAGGATTAAGATTTTGTACTTCAAGTACTCTTACAGTTTTTAATACATGAAACTTAATTGCTACTGAAACGATTAATGATTATTTAACCAGCGATTGAAAGGCATTAACACTAGGTACTATACTGACACCCTGAACAGGTGCTCTCACAATATAGGTCGCAGACACGAGCTGACGGCAGTAGAAGTCTCAAGTCACAATACTAATGTAGACATGGGTATTCGCCAGGTAGCATGGCAAGGTACGACACGAGGTCGAAGGATTCATACTACCCGTGGAACTTTAGAGTACGTCTTCATATGCATGAGCTCGAAACCAATGGGTTAGAATTGATCTTCAGTAACCATGCTTGTCGTAAGAGGTGACTAACGGGATCGGACACATGTCATCGTATCCCAACTGCGTAGATCGATGCTTATGCTGTTGATCACTGGATTGTCAGGTTCGATTATTTACAGACCGCCGTCCTACAGCAGGAATATTGCTGAGTGCGGCGTAAAACAACAAGCAATCAACCAAGAACTATCAACCCCGGGCTGTGGTAACCCTGGACCAGACTCTATCACCCACAGGAAGCTGTGCTGCAAGTGGAATTCTTTACTTCTTTGGTTGAGCTCGGGGTGAGTGAGTGCGTTTAGGTTTACGTCGCTTTTAGCAATATTCCAGCAATATCACGGCGGTGGACACCAGAAATGGGCTTCACACATTGTACCCATGTGGGGATTTGAACCCGGGTCTTCGGTGTGACGAGCGGACGCTTCAACCACTAGGTTACACCACCGCCCGTTTGAGCTACGAATGTCATCAGTGATACACTACAGATTATCAGCTGTAGATGTGTGGTATGGGGTGTGTGAAACACGCATGGCGTTATATACATGTTACACATGACTCACTCGCACACAGATCTTCAGAGCTTGAAGGGTTGTCACGTAACATCCCAACCCTAAGCCTATCCCCATGCAATTAAGGAAAACTATGTATAATATTCTATAAATCATACCTTCATATTCTCACCTGTTGACATATTAGACAATGTAGAGAAGGAAGTGACTTGAAGATCCCACCATGATAGGAGAACGCCAGGTTGTGCAGCCTGTCCACCTGACAGTCTATACATCTCTGTTACAGACTACATAAGCTTGCATTGGTTTACTTTATACTGGAATTGCTTGAATACGCATATATGCATGGAATAACATGACTACTGTTTGCAGTGGAATCGATATGATAAGACATGGTTTAAAAAGTGGCATGTATACATTTTACACACTGCACACAACCGAAAAGCATTGACCTGAAGATTCTGTATTGTAAGTATAGATTGTTCCCATACTTCTACCTTTAAGGGAGGGTGGGGTAGTCTAGTGGTTAAAGCGTTCGATCGTCACGCCGAAGATCCGGGTTCGATTCCCCACATGGGTGCAATCTGTGAAGCCCATTTCTGGTGTCCCCCGCCGTGATGTTGCTGGAATATTGCCTAAAGCGGCGTAAAACTAAACTCGCTCACTCTACCTTTAAGGGGATATAATTCACACTGTAGGGAATATTATCCTTCACCTTGCAAGTATAAGTACCGTTATACAATGGGGAAGTTCCTTTCGATATGGGTTAGGATCAGATTATAGGAATAGTGGCCAACTCAGTTTCTACTAATATTAGATAAAACATTCCGAGGTGAGGTGAGGTTTGATATTTCACATTTTTTCAGCCACATAGCGACGAGACGAAATTTCCACATGTGTACATGTCCATCATTAACACAATGTCACACTCAAAAGCAAGTTTCCATATT